ATCAACTAGTTGCAAACTTGTAATGAAAGCAGATTTTGCTAAAGTATTTGATCAACTTCACATGATTCGTCTACAACAGCTCCAACAATTTGTTTTCCACAATTCAGCAGTACTTTTCATCAAATCCCACTTATTTCAATGCGAACGATTTCTATCATACAACGACTATGACTTTTTTCATTAAAATCCTTCATCTGGAGTACCTCAAGGATCGAATCTCGGACCACTTACATTCTCGTTAGTTATTAATGACCTCAGTGATTGTGTCGATTGTAATAGGTTGTTTATACATAGTAGAATTGAGATATGGACTTATAAAATCACAGACAATTAAACGGAGAAAAACTTTTGAAACAACCTAATAAAATCCGTAAAAGTTTGGAATAATTTCAGTTTATATTCTCAAATGTTAGTTAATGCTTGATGTATTCATGTCATCCGTAGCATATAACAAGGGTAGTAGCCTCACTCTTACTTGACGAGAACCAAATGATGGAAAATCGAACAGTATTATTCAATTACAGGCATAGAGGAAAAGTATCGGAGAATGGAATAAAACACAAACTTTTATCACACATTGTATTTAGGTACTTAGGAATATATCACACTAACGTACATAATGTAAAAAGCATAAGTAGTTAGACAAAAAGGCAACAAAAAATAATTAATATAAACAAATATACAGAAATATGTACAAATCAGCCAACTTATAAAACACTTCTACAATTATAATATATATTTTCAGTACTACTATCTTCATTCGGGTTTGAAGGCCTTCGTAGTTTGGAACTGCATCCTAACCGAGTCATCGGTGAATCATCAAGATGAATAAACCTCTGAAGAAGCCAGCCACTCGTACTGACGAAACGTCAGGATGCAGTTCCAAACTACGACGGTCTTTAAACCCGAATGAAGACAGTAATACTGAAAATCTCGGCCGCAAAAGCCTTAATCAATTTATCAATATATACTTTATATAAATACTTTGATCCACTTTTCAGAAAAGGAAGTTGAACTAAATATGAAAACACAATAACAAATAATATCAGTTTCCTACTGAGGACATTATTCCACAGAAATAGATGGAATAGGTAAACTTTAAATAGGCCATTTTGTAAATTAGAGGTATCATTTGAATAACCTGTAGAACTTACTAAAGTCAAAATAAACTCGATAAAATATCATATAATACTACAAACAAATTTTCAAAATCAAGATAAATCTCATAAATCCATCTGAAAAAAATCAACGTTCCTTTAAATAAGTTTTCTATGTTCCTAATTCAACGATCGATACAGAACTCACCTAATAAATTAATTAAAAGCTAAACCTAAAATAACATCACAGACGGTACAGAAATGTGCATAGTAGCCTTCCTCGCAGGATGAACGTAGAGTGATGGTTTTCAATGGTTAAACGGCATACAAAATATTTTGTATATTTATATTGAAGAAAAAAATTGAGGCCTTTTATCTCCTGATATGTTTCTGAATGCAAAATGAATTCCTGAAGTTTTAAATTTGTCAATTAAAAATGAAACACATTTCTTATAAAATACTTGGGCAAACATTTTTTGTTTTCAAAAAGAGTCGATGTTTATATCATTTAGAATAAAATATTCAACAGCACAAGTTGAGGTTCCACTGTATGAAAGGAAAAGTGTAACAAGAACACTGAATTGACTGTTACAACCTTAAATAAATTTGATAACACCACATTGTCACTTAGATATTTTTCATGAGAAAAACAATACGCTTTAGTTTGTTAGCGGTAGAGTTGGATCAAAAAATTTGTAATTTTTCAAAATTATCCAACCTGTTAATAATGATTTTATATATATTTCGAAACATTCAATTTTTTAGCATTTAAACATTTTATGTAATCTCAAATATATATAAATTGAAAGGGGTATATTTTTAGGAGAGAATAATTTTTGCGGAAGTAATGTTTTGGCTTTCTACTTCTCCATCTTTATAAAAAAAATTGTGAAAATCTTCCAAAGGAAGGAAAAAAGCAATGCATCAACTATTACATAGATGTATATATCACGCAAAGAATTAACTTTCAGTAAATGAAAGTAAAAAGGTAAAATTTCACTTACATGGAAGTGCAATGAAGGTGTAACATGTAAGTGTAAGTGAAAAGGTAAATGAAAGTTGATTATGTAGTAAATGGAAGAGGTAAACTTTCTTACATGTAAGTGAAAAGGTAAAATTTCACTTAAATGTAAGTGCAACGAAGGTGTAACATGTAAGCGTAAGTGAAAAGGTAAATGAAAGTTAATTCTGTAGTAAATGGAAGAAGTAAACTTTCTTACATGTAAGTGAAAAGGTAAAATTTCACTTACATGTAAGTGCAATGAAGGTGTAACATACAAGTGTAAGTGAAAAGGTAAATGAAAGTAAATTCTGTAGTAAATGGAAGAGGTAAATTTTCTTACATGTAAGTGAAAAGGTAAAATTTCACTTACATGTAAGTGCAATGAAGGTGTAACGTGTAAGTGAAAAGGTAAAATAAAGTTAATTCTGCAGTAAATGAAAGAGGTAAACTTTCTTACATGTAAGTGAAAAGGTAAATGAAAGTTAATTATGTAGTAAACGAAAAAGGTGACATTCCTTACATGTAAGTGAAAAGGTAAAATTTCACTTACATGTACGTGCAATGAAAGTGTAAGAGAAAAGAAATAAAGTTTCACTTACATGTAAGTGGAATTTTACCTCTTTCGTTCACTATAATTTGTAGCAATCCTGTGAATGATATCTGATTCAATTCCAATGAATGTGAATTCTAATGAATGTTTGGATTACAAACTGAATAGAGAAAAGTGTATAATTCAGTGTTCATACTAAAAAGTATGTTTTATTTCGTATAATTCAGTGATTATATGAAAGTAGCCGTTTCAAGAGGGCTTTTTTTCAATTCGTGTTACGAACTGAAATCTATACATCTTCGTGAATAACTTATTTTGAGATTATTTGCTTTATTCCTTTTCTTGGAAGATTCCCACACTTCTTTGTATAAAGATGGAGAGTAGAAAGCCAAAACATTTATTTCTCAAATATATATAACAAACACATATTGAATTTAACAGTAGTTTCGAAAATTCCAAATAGAAGTGAATACTTTCAGATATGTTTTTTACTAATACTTTGGACATACACTATGTTATTATTTAACATTATTTTACTTTGAAAGAAGAATAAACTAATGATTTGCAGTGTTTTTTGAAAATATATAGTTCTCGCATTGTCTAGTATTGACTGAATTTATATGATATATCTTGGAATATACGTCCGTATATTCAAATATTTTCATAATTAATATAAATGAAAAATCTAAAAATTGGACAGTGACAAAATCCACCTAGAAAAATATGGCAACTAAATTTACCTTTCAGGAGCAGTCTACATGTTTAGCTGTTTTTAGTTAACATTGGTAAGCTTAAATTTTAGTTAGGCCTTCTAAAGAGTTAATTTTACTAGTATACATTTGGAATTTCAGTATAGTTTGCCTATAAGCTGAAGAATTGGGGCTCTCCAGATTATAGAGCCTCTCGATGATTCCAAAATATTATCTTACACATAAATCTAAATTTATTATTTCTAACATTCATAGTTCACACGTTTGCAATTAAATGTGGGGAAGTGCATACAGACCAATGAATTGAAAAAAAATTATGAAATGTAGGAGGACGTTACAATTCAAAACTTTGCAAATTTATCCTCTGAACTTTGTTATATACTAATGAACCGAACTGAAGCTTACTGATTTAATTAATCTCCGCACCGGCCTTCTTCAATAGGTCTAAAATAGACTTATAATATTGATTGTTTTGTGTGGACTGTATTAAGAAAATAATGAATTATCCAAATTGCAACAATGAAACTCGCCTTTTTGTTCGTTTGGGATGATGGAAGAGCCTCTTGTCAATTGTTTTCGCTTTGGTGGAGCAGTTGAATAATTAGTTAGCATGACTTGTGTTCTAATCACTAATAAAAACTTGGAAACAACTTTGAGCACACTTAGCGACGAATCTCAATCGACTGACTGGGGGCTTGGACAATCATCTTTTTCAGGAGTGGCTAGGAGTCCAATAAATGCAATAAAGGATTTCAAAAAATATTGAAATTATGTCGAATGTATGTCTTATGTCTTTCCGAAACAGTTATTTTTGTTTGACTTGAAACCAATGCAAGCATCTTCAAGCAAATATAATTTAGTATGATTTTCTTCTCATTAATTTGTACATTTGAATAGTTTTCTGGTTGGGAATCTGGAGAAATAGCGATGTAATAAAAAAACCTCTCTGGCGTATTTTCAATATTTTCTGCTACAGAATTAATTTGATACAAAATGTGAAATCCTTCAATTATTTTTCAAAGTGCTATAATATACAAAGTTTTGAAGTAAAGTCATCTGAGATTTGTTGAAATAAAAGTATTTGTACAAGTACCTGTATACCATTCCGATTCAGAAGGAAATATAGCAGAAGGAATCAGTCTTATTACACAAAGCTTTCGAAATAGAAAATGACAAATTTCCATTTTGATTCTTCAAATACTGCTGAATTTTTGACTTAGGTTATCCTCAAAATGTTTTTGTCATTTCACATTGTGGCTTCAATTCAAGACCATCAATCAATAATAAATACCAACACATAAATATGTTGTTCAATACTTAAAGTAAGTTCGTCTAGTCTCTGAAGATACACAACTAATGAGAATTTTCATTAAGATAAATAAAAATATTTGGCAATGAAAAAATTATGTAATCTAGTCCTTACTTATTGTTTTAGAGTACTAACATCAATAATTTATCGAACAAGCCGCAAAGTCGTTAAAGGTGTATAAATAATAAGTTGATTCGAAAAATACAATCCTCCCCTTTCATCAAATTACCAACAAATATGTATTTTACGATTTTGAACGTACAGAAACAGTTAAAAATTTCGATGCCTACTTCATTGTCTAATTCTGGGTTTCCCCCAGTATATACCTAGATTTCCAATTCAATTTAATTTTTAAAATACAAATGCGAATCATATTTCTGGTGCTTCACTTTCGAAAAAAAAATGGTTAGAGCAAACATTTCAACCTTCAACAAATGCATACTTAAACCAATACGTTTAGCTTTAAACATAATAATTGCACTAAAATCGTTAGTTATTGCTTTTAGTCTTAAATTCAGTGGGGTAGTTTCCTACCACGGGGTTTTATAGTTTCCGACAATTTCCACATGGCATCCTCAACTATGAAGTCATCGAAGTTTTGGAAAAAGCTGATGATCTTTTCCTGTTTTTTGAATGTGTAACTCCTAAAATGTAGAAAAAAATGATAAATTGAACTGCACAAGACAAAATCTCAAGATTTAAGATAAACTTAATAAATTTATCGTTTTCAATAAAAAACCTGTGATCCTAACAGAAAACAAATAATATTTCAGTGATTCATTCAATAGTTTTCTCTCTTAGAGCTTATCAGAACAAATCCTTGATGCGCAAAACTTCATCTACATCTTTGTTGGTGTTAGTTGTACCCAAGAACAGTAAACTTCGTAAATCATATAATAAAGTAGACGGTGATAGAAAGAGATGATAGATTAAGACATGAATTGAAAGATGTAATAAACAGGGAATCAATCTCTTACAACACGTTTCTGTATATAGTATATGTAAAATTGTGCTATGTATGTACGAGGGTTGCCTTTTATGTTTAGGGATTTGGCAACCCTATTGTTGCAATCTGGCAACTGACAGCCTCTATTGTAAAGTTGGACATTTTTGAGCTTATACCTACTCAAAACGTTTTGACATACGCGCGCTATTCATGTTGTTTACAGTAACTCAAAAGATTAATCTCGACCCAAAAATGAAATTAAATCATGAACATTTTCGTGCGATTATTTTTTACAACTTTCGACGTGGATTAACTCAGCAACAGTGCATGGATGAACTTAATTCAATTTTTGGCAAATGCATGTTTTGGAGATACCTCAATCAGAGTGGCAAAAGTGCTTCGACAATTGGTTCAAACGCATGCAAAAGTGTATAGATCTTCATGCGGAATATTTTGAAAAACAATTAAGTGATTTTTGATGATTAATATTTGATTTTGTTCTCTGATCCCGAAATATAAAAGGCAACCCTCGTATATGAATTTATACCTAGGTATACCTAGCCCGTATTTGATGTTCAACTATAAACTGGGAACTTTATACTTTGTCAATAAAAATGTTGTTCGTTAGAAAATAAATTGACTCTTGATTGATATCACGTGATCTCTTTGTGACATAGGTTTCGTGATAAGTGCAATTTGAAACCTCTGGACTGAAATGAAGATTTTGAAAATACTTCTTTCCTCACCACAACAAAACTGTTGTCTCACGACAACAGTCGTGAGACAACATTTCGCTAACCAAATTAGCATCATCAGGAGATGACTAGAGATTCAACTATGTAAAAGTTACAGATCTGACAGATGATGGAACATCATAGAAAAAGTCAAAACTACTTACGACTTTTTGAATTTTTTCATATTCTCCACTATGTTGAACTGCTGCCATCTCTTAGAAAAGTTTATAGTGCCGTCAGGCAACAAATTGGTATTTCCTATGTGCACGAATGTCAAATCTTGTAGAACCAGTCCACTGAAAACAAATATCAAATAAACTCCGATCAAAGTCATGCAAGAAAAATTCTACGTTAACTTACATGTAAGGTATGCAGGGAGGTAGCGTTTCGGCCAACGCTATTCTGTAAGCTCTAAAGCTAGACGAGCTGTCGATAAGTGCGCAGTACTCCTTCAAACTCTCTTGAACCTGCTTTTGCCACTCTAAACGGCGAACTGGAGCAGAATCTAAAGCCGACAATAGCGCCAAGTAAGAGTTGAAGTTGTTGATTTTTCTCAAGTGCTTCATTATCTTGATGAACTTGGTGAAGTATCTTTCTCTGGTGTCCTTTCCTTCCGCTGTTAAGATTTTTGTCCTAGCCCTAAAATTTGAAAGGGAGCCATTGACTTATTTTTTGAGGAAACAATTGTAGGCTGTTCAATGTAAATTCAATCTTCACATTATGAAGAACTTGTATCATACAAATAGAGTAAAGCTTATCCAGATATTGTATTAATTGCCATAAAATAATACCTGATTGTACAGTACTGTCCAAATTCTATAGAAATTGTTCATTCTATCGGGTACTGATTTTTGTAAATTGTTCATTTTTATACGAAGTTTCATTTGTTATTTACGATGACCTGATTATAGATAAATATAGTTTAAAAAACTAAAAAACACGCTTTTAAGGAACATCGAACTAAACTTTTTTAAATGAAGATATACATGTAAAGTGAGTTCGAATTATATCAAGGACAAGTACAGCGTCATCTGCCCGCGAATAGATCAAGCAATAATGTCGGTATATCAAGGAGACTTTGTAGGTACGTGTGGCAGATACCCGACGGAAAAACAACAACTGACCCAGCTAATGCCGCGCAGAAAGCTGAAGTGAAACTCTTGGAGAGCTCTGCAGAGTATTTCATTTGGAAGATTCTTCGCAAGTGACTTTTTATATATGGAAAGCTGAAATTAATATCATTTGGTCGGGACGACCACCAATAGTCCGGGGTACTTGCCTCTCATCATTACCAGGAAAGTCATTTCAGACACAGTGAACCGTCTGAGTATCCAGAACAAACAAAATTAATTCCAATTAGTTATAAGCTCTATCTGCAGTTGATTCAGTAGAATATTCACTGCGCCACCTGCAGACAAAGACCGGAAACAACTCCACAAAAACATACTCCGGGGAGCATTCGACATGCCCAGGTTCAGGTGAAAGACATCCTACCCCTTGCCTTTCATGTGAATCTACAACTTTGTAGTTATTTGGGATGAACCTTCAAAATGGAAGACATTGCACAGGTCAGCTTTCTGCGCAACATTAGCTGGGTTAGTTGTAGTTTTTCCATCAGGTATCTGTCACACGTACCTACAAAGTCATAGGTTCACATGAGAGGCAAGGGGTAAGAAGCTTTTCACCTGAACTTGGGCATGTCATATGCACTTCTCCGGAATAAATGTTTGTGTGTATATATATCATGGTTTTACTTGGACATTTATTTCAACTCATTTCATCTTTGACGGTCAGTCGCAACTTTGAATTTTAACATGTATATTTTACTGCTTTTATTGATTTTACATACTCCTTTATGCGAAGTTTATGATTTTAGTTTTAGTGTAGTTTAGATAGCTGAGTTTATCACTTGTACTCGTAGGACTGTGTATCTGTAATTGAGCTATGCTTGTATGTATGCAGGATAAACAGTGAACAATTATCACAAAAAATGTTGGATTAGACGTCATGAAAAGGTAAGGAAAAAATGCAATGAGCGCTGCAACGACTTGGAAAAAAAGGACAGGTCAGTTAAAGTAAGAAAGGCTTACCAGTAAGACATTTTGTTGAAATGTTCCGTGAATCTAGTTAAATTAGGACTCCTCTCCTCATTTTGTTCCTGCGCCCAAATCAGCACCTCAGGAATTTCGATCTTCATGAATAGTTCGGCATCCAGTAATGTCATTTGTTCTGCAATTTGCTCAGACTTGAAATCCAACAAGGTGAAATTTCTAACGTTCAGACTGAGACTGGTTACGACATTCGTATGCTTCTCCGACATCTGTTTGGCCTCATAACGTTGCAAATGTTTAACTCTGAGCGCTTTGGCAAGAGTAAGTTCGCCACACGATATCAACTGTTGTACAAAATTCATTAGTTTCTCTTGTAGTTCTTGTTCTAAATCTAATGCACTGAAAAATAAATCACCAGTAAAAATCATACTACCGAAATATCTATGGATGTTTTATTTAGTCATTTGATTACAGAGTGGAAAATAGCATTCAATTCCACTTTGGAAAATTCAAAAACACAACAAAATAAACAGTACAGTTTCAATTGGAACATTAATATTTTTTGGATTCATTTGGAAACCATACAAATAAGAATCAATTGTAGGAAAAAATCATTGCACTTACGTAAGGTCACTGACAACCCTCACAATCAGGGCAAAAGCTTCTCGAGATCGAGGTTTTTTCTCCACTTGGTCGTAAAAGTACTTATACCTCCGGATCAATTTTGTTATCAGTTCATTTGGAGATATGAATGTTCTGTAAGTTGTTAGGAAGGCTTCCTGATAGGCAAACACTGCAAAAAGAACATTTTTATCTTTATGATGAGTTGCAAACAAACAATTGTCTAGTTGATTCTTTTAAATGATTAGATATTCAAATGAACCCTGCAAATTTTTCAAAATATAAGCCACTTTATGAAATTACAAGCATATTTTCTAAAAAAGAAAATCGAACCAAAGGTTGGAATGACATATTTTTTTTTTTTGGTAAAAACCATTCATCACCTTTCAATGCATTTTACATATCACAAAGCAAATGAGAAGTCTATAAAAAGTGCAGGAGATCCATCAGTGTGCTACAGACTAGCAATTTTAGATATTACTCTATATTTCCATACCTATAACTATGATTTCTATTGGATACAAACAGGAGGACATATATCTAGATTGAAGAAATTGGGGGCAAGCAAAATCTACCATATTTGATGTTGAGGAACACTAGCAGAAGTATTATTATTATTATGTCGTATGTTTCGTGCAATGAGAACAGTGTATGTAAAGTTGTCGATGAATTTTTGTGTTCTAAGGCAGTTCAAAAAATTCAGAGGGCAATGATTAAACCAACATACCATTCTCCTGTTCTTCTGCAATTCATAGCAAAAAATTATCATTATTATTTATATGTTCAACTGACAATGCATTTGTTATGCTACACAATACATTATTTAATAATGATGTCTTTTGAATTCAAGTTTTCGCTTCATATGTTTGTTCATTTAAGCAAAATGATTCGTTGAAACGATCTGTTGAATAAAATTATTTAGTCGCTACATAAAAACTCTAAATTTCCTTCTCATAGATGTTACATCAACTACAAGAAATAAATCTTCATTCATTATATAAGGTTGTTTCAAAAGTTTTGTCTCAATAAATATTTATTTTAAGGTATCTTGGATAAGCCTGCTTTGTCAACATACAAAAATTTTTATCACAGACTTTTACCATAGACTTTTTGAAGTGTGCTTGAGCCATATTAAATTCTTGACCTTTTTGTAAATGTTTCAGATTGTTTTAGTTCTTAAGCCTACTTTGTCAACAAACCCTAAACTTTTATGACAATAAAGCATTTCTGACTCTTGACTCATGGGATGGAGGAAGAACTGGCCGACAGCTCCCATGACGGTTTAAAACGTATTGGAAAGGTGTAAAAGCTCGAAAACTGGGTGCTCCACAATTTGAGCGATCGACAGAAACTGTCACATTTTTGAGGTCTGTTTTTCTTTGCTTTTGCATAACCAAAATTATCCTTTTTTGGATCGGGTCGCCACGTGTAATGAAAAGTGGATCCTCTACGACAACAGGAGAAAACCCACCAAAAAAACACCATCTACTACCATCTTTTCAAGCATTTAAAAACGACCTTCGTCAACTTCATCGAATCCATAGCACCCAATTTTCATGCTGACGAAATTAATCAACATGTGTTACATTGACAAAAGTGTATTGATTCAAATTGATTAAGTATTCATTAAAATATTAGTTTGAAGTAGCCTCATCTGTTTAAAAAAAATCTGTTTTTCCGTTAACCAGCTGTCGTACCCCTACGAACGACATCCCTCAGAAGTCGAAACTTGTGCAAGCTAAGGATTAACGAGGTCTTACCTTTTAACGTGTGATAACCAACAAAACTTTTGAAGCAACCAATAAGTCAAGTTATTAGAGCTCTACAGAACTTTCATAGATAAGTGAACATTCAAAACGAAACTCATTATAGAAATATTTTCCAAAATTGAAAAACACGTTTATTTCTCTTTGGTTCTTTCTGGAGATCAAGTTATGAAATTTATTTTCAGGCAGTATTTTAGGTAAGTTACCAACTTTTATATTCATCCTTTTGTACAAACTTTTCTACTCCTATACACGGTGTAACTGAATAAGTGTAAAACATTTAAGGAGGTGATTCCTCATCGATAAAAAGATAGGATCTTTCATATGAAGGAACTTCATTGGAGCATCCCTTGTTAAGATACAGCCCATTAAAGGGGGTACATAAAATTTGTATAACAATT